GGTCTCGATCTCCTGACCTCGTGATCCACCCGTCTCGGCCTCCCAAAGTGCTGGGATTACAGGCTTGAGCCACCGTGCCCGGCCTATTTTCATTTTTAAAATTATTATTATTATTTTTTGAGACAGAGTCTTGCTCTGTCACCCAGGCTGGAGTGCAGTGGCACAATCTCGGCTCACTGCAGCCTCTGCCTCCCAGGTTCAAGCAATTCTCTTGCCTCCCAAGTAGCTGGGATTACAGGTACATGCCACCACACTTGGCTAAGTTTTCTTTTTGAGGCGGAGTCTCGCTCTGTTGCCCAGGCTGGAGTGCAGTGGTGCAATCTTGGCTCACTGCAATCTCTGCCTCCTGGGTTCAAGCAATTCTCCTGCTTCAGCCTCCCGAGTAGCTGGGATTACAGGTGCCCGCCACCATGCCCAGCTAATTTTTGTATTCTTACTAGAGATAGGGTTTCATCATATTGGTCATACTGGTCTCAAACTCCTGACCTCGTGCTCCACCCACCTTGGCCTCCCAAAGTGCTGGGATTACAGGCGTGAGCCACTGCACCCGGCATAATTTTTATATTTTTAATAAAGACGGGGTTTCACCATGTTGGCCAGGCTGATGATCTCCAACTCCTGACCTCAACTGATCTGCCCACCACAGCCTCCCAAAGTGCTAGGATTACAGGTGTGAGCCACCGCACGTGGCTATTGTAATTTTATGACAATATAGTTATTTGCAAAAGTTCAATAAGAATATGTTTTCTTTCATAACAGGCCACATTGGAGACTCTGGTAATTTTACCAAGGCTTTTACTGAAATGATATGTCTTCATATATGACCAGACTGCTTTGAGGAACTGAAGTTGACTTTACAGAGCCATAAAAAGACCCTTGGTGGCCAGGCTTGGTGGCTCAGGCCTGTAATCCCAGAACTTTGGGAGGCTGAGGTAGGTGGATCGCTTGAGTCCAGAAGTTTGAGACCAGCCTGGGGAATATAGTGAGACTCTGCCTCTATTAAAAAATGTTAACAAGAATAAAATAAAATACAATAAAAGGGGGCCCAGCACTTTGGGAGACTGAGGTGGGCAGTTCACTTGACGTTGGGTTGTTCAAGACCACCCTGGCCAACATGGTGAAGCCATATCTCTACCAACAAATGCAAAAATTAGCCAGGAGTGGTGGTTCACACCTGTAGTCCCAGCTACTCAGGAAGCTGAAGTGGGAGAATCACTTGAACCTGGGAGGCAGAGGCTGCAGTGAGCCAAAATTGCACCACTGCACTCCAGCCTGGGCAACAGAGTGAGACCCTATCTCAAAAAAAAAAAAAAAAAAGAAGACTCTTGGAAAGACTGGACTGGCTTGGTACCTTGTCTACACAGTTCCCTTACAAGGTTCCCAACCTTGTGGTAAGTAAAGAATGTCACTTTCTGACAGGTCTAGAAACCTCAAGATATTTTGGAACCTTAAGAAGAGAAGAATTCGCCCAATGTGTGTGGGTATCACAGGCATAGTCTGATGGTAAATCCTTGGTTTGGCTTTTTAGCTGTGAGGCTTTTAAAAGTCGAATCCAGGCCAGGCATAGTGGCTCATGCCTATAATCCCAGCACTTTGGGAGACTGAGGCAGGAGGATCACTTGAGCCCAGGAATTCTAGACCAACCTGGACAACATGGTGAAACCCCATCTCTACAAAAAAAAAAGTACAAGTACAAAAAAAATTAGCCAGGTGTGGTGGTGCATGCCTATAGTCCCAGCTACTTGGGAGGCCGAGGTAGGAGGATCGCTTGAGCCTGGGAGGTGGAGGTTGCAGTGAGCCAAGATCATGCCATTGCACTCTAGTCTGGGTGACAGAGTGAGACCCTGTGTCAAAAAAAAAAAAAAAAAAAAAGCGAAATCCAACATTCCTTATGAAAGTTCCAATAATGCAAATTATCAGGCCAAGTATACTACTAAAACTTAATTTGCAAGTAAATTTGTCCTATCAAGACTCATTTTTGCTAAAAACAGGGAACTAGAGAGAGAAAAATTACGTTTCAGAAGAAAATCTTAGCACACCTGTTAGTGCTGCACACCTGTTATTCCTGTTATTAGATTCCAGCCCTGGCCATTGTTTTCGAGTTTTTATTATTTTCCTACAATTTGGACTAAATCCTGAATTATTTCCTGGCTACAACAAAGAAGGTTGTAGAAAAAGTTTTAGAAGCCAATTCCTGGATTTTAAAGAAGGCTTGGGATTTTCTTCATGATGTTTTTGTTGACTCACCAGTGGAATAGGTTTGGTGGTGTTCTGCCATAGAGATTCTCTTTTTCTATTTATTTATTTATGACAGAGTCTCACTCTGTCACCCAGGCTGGAGTGCAGTGGCATGATCTCGGCTCATTGCAACCTCCATCTTCCGGGTTCAAATAATTCTTATGCCTCAGCCTCCTGAGTAGCTGGGATTACAGACGTGTACCACCACACCTGGCTGATTTTCATATTTTTTAGTAGAGATGAGGTTTCACCATGTTGGCCAGGCTGGTCTCGAACTCCTGGCCTCATGTGATCCTCCTGCCTCAGCCTCCCAAAGTGCTGGGATTACAGACATGAGCCACTGTGCCCGACTGCTTATGTCATTTTAATGTAAATTCTTGGTAAACAATTTAGGAACTGCCTCTTCTTTTTTCCTTAAAAACTTACATGTAACTGCTGCTAATCAGAGTGGATAGTCTCGGAAATTTGAATCTATGGTCCCAGTTGGCCATCCTCAGGCTTTAGGCTTGGATAAACTCTGTACTTAATCATATTTTCTGAATCTTATTACTTCAAGTTGACAGTAGGTAGTGGGTAGGGGAATGGACAAATGGATGGGTGAGACTCTTCAGCCAGATCTGTGGAAAGCAGCCTTGTTAGTTCTGAATAGGTTTTTCAAGCAGCCATTATTATAATTACAGCCATTTCATACGTTAAAAAAAGGAAAGGTCTGGTGGCAGGGACAGGTCTTGAGCCCACGACTCCACTGGATTGTCCCCCATGATCCCCTTTTCACCTTGGAGTTCCAAGGTTGTCACAGTGTGGTAGTCTGGAGTCATGCAGTACCGGGGAAAAGCTCAAGATGAGGCCGAGTTCATCACAGAAGACTTCTTGGAGAGGGAAGTGGTAGGATCAACATCTGTCAGACAGGAGGGCCTACCGTGCCCAGGCTTCATGAAACCCAGAGAGAGAGAAGGATTTGAGAGGAGCCACAGAACAAGTCAGCTGGAAAGCTGGAGCAAGAGCCCAAAGTCCCTGGGCACTGTTAGGATTATACCTGGGTGAGGTTCTATGGTGACAATGGCTCTACTGGGGGCATATGGCTAATGGAGTCCTGGGTTCAAGGCCTGACCCTACCTCCAGAGCCTTCCTCTTGTGGCCTATAAAATGGCCGTAATAATAATGGCTCACCCAAGGCTGCCACGAGTAGGAATGGGAGTGTCTGTGTGGCCGGGGAGGGGAGAGGAGGTAGGTAGTGACAGCTGAGGCTGCTCCAAGGGCAATCAGCCGTCCTCAACTCAAGATTCACAGGCCCTTTCTATGGATTGCAGATTGAGTAAACCCGAGATGTCTGTGTGGCTTTCTTAGCTACATAGGGCTGTTGATTAAGAGGGAGAGTTTGCACCTCTGTTAACTGGAAGGCAGACTATCTTCCAGCCCAATGGCAGTGTGGTGGATCGGCCATGGTGGACACAGTCAAGGACATCTGGGTACCAGCCTGGGCTCCCAACCTCTCACTCCTGAACCCACCTTTTCTGAAGCTCAACTGATGGCTTTGGCTCGCCTTTGCCCTTCCTTGGGTCTCAGTCTCCCCCTCTGAACTTTCAGTCGACCGCTTAGACGCCCTCTGGGGCACCTTTGGTTTCCAGGTTGTAACCCGCCACTGGCCACGGTCAGGTACCTCCCCTCCTCGGCCGTTATGCCTGGACTGGCTCCCCCACCTCCCGCGCGGCGAACCCCGTCCACACCGTCCCCACCTGCACGTGCACAGCCGCCTCCAGCGCCAGGCCCACCGGGTGGCCACGGTGCGCGCCCAGCACCGGGCAAAGCGCGCACACACAGCGGTGGCAGCGGCGACAGAAGAGCTCAGCTATGCGGTCGCCATGCTCCGGGCAGCGCCAGCCGCATCCCTCGACAAGCTCCGACCCCCCAGGGGTGCGGCTGCCGGCCGCCGCGCCCGCCATTCATCTCCGCCACCTCCGGCTCCCTGGGGCACGGGGCGGGGCTCCCACGGGAAACCGAAACCTCGGCCGTGGGCGGGGCGGCTCCAGGCCGGCCGGCCGGCCGCTAGGAGGATGACAGCCTGCAGGGAGCATCCTCCGACCAGCAGGGTGCTCCCTCTGCCCGCCCAGGCCAGGAGGTGGCCTCAGCAGAAATGGGAGGCTCCTAATAAGCCAGCCGGGAGAGGGTGGGCTTCCTGCTTAATGACGCTGGACCACTAACGCCCAGAAAACTGCAGCCCTGGTGATGGGACCAAAGTTGGTTGGACCTTCCAGGGGTGCTCCTCTCACTTTCCCTTGATCCTCTCTTGCCCTTTTCCCGGGAAAGATAATCATTCCCACAACTATAAGAAACCTAGTCAAGCTCAAATAACGACACAGAGATTCTCCAATTGAGTTTATTTCGGACTGAGCAGAAGGATTGCAATGTGCCATGGCACCCAAGGGGTAGAGGCGCGGAGTACACAGGGAGGCAAAGGAAAGTAGAGGCTTTTAAAAGCAGAAGGAGGAGGATTGCATACATTGTTTTAAAATAATAATACTTGATTACAAGAATTAATACGGGTGGCTTCAATCCGAAAGTTGAACAGGCAGTTGCTGGGCAGATGTCCTCATATCGTGGCTTTTGTGCAATGCTGTGGTTCTTTGTGCAAGGCTGCAGCTTGGTAATTCCTGTTACCAGGCAAATCGTTGGTGAGGGCCCCCCACTTCATGGCCTCCCAGCACCCTTTAGTTATTTTGTTTGAGACAGGGTCTGGCTCTGTTGCCCAGGCTGGAGTGCAGTAGTGCGATCAAAGCTCGCTGCAGCCTCTAACTCCTGGGCTCAAGTGATTTTCCCACCTCACTCTCTGGAGTAGCTAGGACTACAGGTGCACCATTTAGTTTGATTTTGACATAAGTGACTCTGTTTTGGTACTGACGACTTTCACAGACACACCCCCACCCCAAATTCCAGTTGCTCCCAGGCTCAAGTCTCCAATCCCACTTTTAAAGCCCTTGGCTCTTTGTTAAGATCCTTGGTCCCCGCCCTGCCTACGTTCCACCCTTTGATTTTTCAAGACTGGAGGACGTGCAGTTTACCCTGCTTGGAACATTCTTCTTCCCAAATGCCCTTTGCCCTGAGTATTCCAACTTATCCTGCAGATTTCTACCTTACTATCTTTGCCTCCAGGAAACCTTCCCTGCTTCTCCTTCCAGAACAGCCTACGTTTCCCCTATCCTGGCCCTCCCCATTCCCCCAACCATGACTGAAAACTGGAGAGGGCAAAGACTGTCTGTCCTGCCTGTTTTCCAGCTTGGTGTCTGACTCCAACAGTAGATAGTTAATTGGTATTTGTGGAACAAATCAAGACAAGGAAAGCTCCTTGTAGTAAAATGTCTGGCCAGATGTTTATTATTTTGTGACATTATTTCCATCGCACATTCCACATCTATTTATTTTCACTTTTATTTATTATTATTATTTTTCACAAAGGTACAAGGAATTTCAGAAACAACATTAGAACAATCATTCAAACTGTTTCAGGCACGGTTTCAATTAAAAGCATAGATTTGATTTCTGACTTCCTGTTTCCTTCTCTGATACAATCTCAAGTTTTGTTCCAGGAAGCACAATTACGGTAGCGGTAAGATGGATACCCGCCAAAGCTCATCTCCTAGTGCTGTCCTCATTCTCAGAAAGTTCCTGAGTCAACAGAAAGGGGACGCCCGGGGTATGGAATAAGGAGATGAGGGCATGCTCTGCCAACTGGCTGGGCCCTGAATGCGCTGGGCGAGTTCCACTACCTCAGCTCAAGAACATAAACAAAAACGTAATTTAAAAAACAGATGGTTTAAAAAAATATCTGATAAAAATTACCTATCCCTCTCCCTTGCTGTGAAATAATTTAAATAATTTATTCTAGATGTAAAAATTTAAAAAAAAAGTTTGTTCAAAGACACCTGTGTCCTGTTTTTAAGTGTGCAGTCTGGGTCCTTTGGGGTGGAGAGAGCTGGCCAAGGAATGGCGCTGTGCAGAGGCATACCAGGAAGCTCTCTGGATGCAACCCCACCTCTACCGCTTGGCAGTCAGCGACCTTGGCATGATGTTTCTTCACTTCTCTGAGGCTAGGTCTTTGATTCTGAACATGGGGCTTGGAATACCTGCCTAACCTGTGTTAGAATAGCATGTGTCAGTGAGTGGAGGTGGGAGGAGTTTGTAAACTGTGAAGTGCTAGTCACACAGGTGGGAGAGGTAAGCCTATCCTGTAGAGCTCTGCTGCCCTGGCAATGCCTGGGATTTGGCCTTCTGTTCTGGAGCACACTAAGGCAATCTTGGCTGGCGCATCAGACGGGAGTGAGCCCCAGTGACTGAGTAAATGGAGAATAAGACAAGGAACATGAGCATCTGGCCTGTGCAGACAGACAAGCAGAATAAACCATGGCTAAGGAAGGGGCAAACAGGGGCGCTGAACCCCCATTGTGCTGCAGCTGCGGTTCCCAGAGATGTTGAGAGAGGGCTTGGGACAACACTTCTAGACTTTTAAGGAGCCACCAGCCAGGACTTAAGAGATCTGGATTGAGTCCCAGCTCCTATCTGGAGCTTGCTGTCCTCTTCATCTTGAAATAGGTACACATGCAGTCTTCCATCCTCACTGTACTGCAGATCACCTGTGGAGCGTATATGAACATACAGGCCCTACTCTGGAGATTCAGCTTCAGTTGGTCTGGAATGTGGCCTGGGCATCTGTATTTCCTGCACGCTCCCAAGGGGATTCTAATGTACACAGCTTGGGTTGAAACCTACCAGGCTGGATGGCCTCCTGCAGTCCCCATCTCAGCTCCAGAATCTAATCGCCCTGTGCAATGGAGATCATCTGCCCCTCCTTGGTAAGGATGGACCAATTTCACTTCTAATCATTCCCAGTCTCTTGGTGGACTATTGTATTGACCACTGAACTTTAGAGTAGGGCTCAGAACACAGATTCACTAAGGAGGGACAAATAAAAGCTTTCAGGCTAGAAGGGAACTTTGGGACCATCTGGTCTTACTTCTTTACCTCGTAGAGTCATTTCAGAAGTCCTCCTGGTTAGGTGGCCAGAGGCTCTACTGGCATGCCTCCAGGGATGGGGGCCCCCTACCTCCTGGGGGACTCTTCTGTTAACTAGGGCTGAAATCTGCCCACATCATCCTGCAGGAGGCAGGCTGTGTACCTGAGGGCCTTGGTGGTGGCAGTCAGCAGTCATGGGCACAGCTCTGAAGTCTGCGTCCCTCCATAAGGGACAGCATCTACCCACATCAGGCTGGTTTCTGGTTGGAAAGGTTGGTTTGGACCTCCTGCCTGTGTTGTAGAATTGGGTTGAATGCCCCTGGCCCCTTGCCAGTGTCTGTTAGTTTCTGCAGCAAACCCAGATCACCCCATAGGTAGTTTTCCCTTAGGTCAAGGTTTCAGGTGGCAGATCCTGCAGACAGCAGCTTGTTCCAGGGTACTCCTTGTTCAGATGAAGAAACTGAGACCAGAGAGGGCAGGACTTGCAAGAGGTCACTGAGTAAACTGGGGCACAGTTGAGGCCAGAAGCAACAGATTTCTACTCTGTGGGCTGAGAACTGCATCAGACCCAAAACAACAAAAAGACAGACCCGGAAAAGCAGGATCTCAGCCCAGCCCTGCCATGAAACAAATATCACCTGCTTCTCTCTGGGCCTTAGTTTCCCCACCTGTAAAATGAGGAACTTGGGTGAAATCACTAGTTTTCAAACTTCTAAAAAATTTTTTTTTACTGGCAGAATTGTTTTTCATATTAGCCCAACATGTAAAATAAAAGGGAGTTATCTGGTTGGAACACAGTGTGGGGAAGGGAGACACAGCCTTCCTGCTTAGTCTCCCCCTATTCTCTCTCTCTTTTTTTTTTTTTTTTTTTTGAGATGGAGTCTTGCTCTATCACCTAGGCTGTAGTGCAGTCCACAATCTTGGCTCACTGCAACCTCTGCCTCCCAGGTTCAAGCAATTCTCCTATCTCAGCCTCCTGAGTAGCTGGGATTACAGACACCTGCCATCACGGCTGGCTAAGTTTTATTCTTTCCTTTTTTTTTTTTTTTTTTGAGCCGGAGTCTCACTCTGTTGCCCAGGTTGGAGTGAAGTGGCATGATCTTGGTTCACTGCAACCTCTGCCTCCCAGGCTCAAGTGGTTCTCCTGCCTCAGCCTCTCAAGTAGCTGGGTTTACAGGCATGCACCACCACGCCCAGCTAATTTTTGTATGAGATGGGGTTTCACCATGTTGGCCAGGCTGGTCTTGAACTCCTGACCTCAGAAGATCCGCCCACCTTGGCCTCCCAAAGTGCTGGGATTACAGGCGTGAGCCACCACGCCTAGCCTAATTCTTGTATTTTTAGTAGAGACGGGGTTTCACCATATTGGCCAGGCTGCTTTCAAACTCCTGACCTCAAGCAATCCGCCTACCTCAGCCTCCCAAAGTGCTGGCATTACAGGCATGAGCCACTGCGTCTGGCCCAGTCTTCCCCTATTCTCTGGACCACAGTTTGAAAATCACAGACAGGTCAACCAAGGTCCTTCCAGCTCTAGTTTTCTACTGTGTTCCTTCCTCTTGAGAAGTTACAGCTCATCATGGACCCTTAATAACAGAATTCAACAGAAGGCATCGTCTGAAAACAAAGTCAATTCAGAAACTGTTGCTGCAAGAAGGCAAATAGAAAAACGGCACCATGTCCCACTGGAATCTCTTTCAGCGATGGAGAGTTTTGTTTTCTGGTAAAAAATATAGAAATAGTGGTTGTTCTTAGGGGGACCTGTGGTTTGGTTCTAAACCTCCCCATGGAGCCGAGTGGTGTCCCTGAGGGTGAGGAGGGCAGAAGTCTCTGCTCAGAGCTGCTCTGAGCCCATCCGCAAGTTTTTGATCTCCAGTTCCAACTGTTTGGCCTGGACCTCTCGCTGGGTCAACAGCTCCCGGAGCCTTCGGATCTCCTCCTGTTGCCGGTAGAACATCTGCAGCAACTGGGGAAGAAAGATTGGAAGGCAGGATCACCAGGGTGTCAGAACACCAGCTGAAAGCTAAACCGCTATCCCTCTTTGACTCAGAAAGGTGGAGGTGGTTACATTAACACGGCAGAGGGCTGATGAGGCTGTCACTGCATAGATCTTTTACAAACACCTTGTTTTCTTCACCCAGTAAATGAAATTCAAGAAGACTGGCATGTTTCAGATGTATTTTGCCTCCAGAGATCCTCCATGAAATAGAGGAAAGCATGCCTGGCTCTGAAGTCTGGGGATTGGTGTTTATGCCACCACTGAACTGTGTGACCTTGGGCAAGTTATTTACCCACTCTGAGCTTCCATTACTTTCTCCGGGAAATGGGGTCAGAAAACTGCCCTCATCATTATCATAATTGTTGCCACTGTGCAGAATGGGTGTTAGATGTTGAGTGATGCCCTAAGGGCCTTCGTTATCCCACTGGAACATTTTGACACCCCTATAAGGGTGGCAGTGCCAGTGTCCCCACTGTACCACTGTGGAAACGGCAGCTTAGAGACATTCAGTCTCTGGGTCTGAGACCCTAAATTAGTACTCAGCAGAGCCAGGATCAGAATCCATCTGTGAGATGCCGGCCTCTGTGTTCTTAGCCACTTCAGACTGACTTCCAGGGCTGTTGAGAGAATTCAATCACATGCTATATCAAAGTGCCTACCCCAGGATCTGCCACATAGTAGGCACTTAACAAATGTGGACTTTGAAAGCACAGAAAATCCTATAATGTCAGAACTGGAAAAACTTTGATATCCATCAGGTCAAACCCTCTTCATTTTACAGACGGTTTCCCACCATCTTTCTTTCTTTCTTTCTTTTTTTAGAGACGGAGTCTCACTCTGTTGCCCAGGCTGGAGTGCAGTGGTGTGATCCTGGCTCACTGCAGCCTCTGCCTCCTGGGTTCAAGCGATTCTCCTGCCTCAGCCTCCAGAAGCTGGGATTATAGGCACGCACCACCACACCCAGCTAATTTTTGTATTTTTAGTAGAGACAGGGTTTCACCATTTTGGCCAGGCTGGTCTCAAACTTCTGGCCTCAAGAGATCCGTCCACCTTGGCCTCCCAAAGTGCTGGGGTTACAGGTGTGAGCCACTGCACCTGGTCCCCACCATCTTTTTTTTTTTCAATATGGAGTCTTGCTCTGTTGCCCAGGCTGGAGTGCAGTGGCATGATCTTGGCTCACTGCAACCTCTACCTCCTGGTTTCAAGCCATTCTCCTTCCTCAGCCTCCCAAGTAGCTGGGACTACAGGTGCGTGCCACCACGCCCGACTAATTGTTGTATTTTTAGTAGAGATAGGGTTTCACTATGTTGGCCAGGCTGGTCTCGAACTCCTGACCTCGTGATCTGCCCACCTTGGCCTCCCAAAGTGCTGTGATTACAGGCGTAAGCCCCCATGCCCGGCCTCCCACCATCTTTATCTATGCCCATTATTTTGGCATAAGACGGAGCTCACTGCCTGTTTGTTGAATGAATTAACAAAATGAGTCAAGCAACCAGGCCAGGCCACACAGATGGTTATTGTTCTCATGCCTCATTTTCTCCCTTCCTCTCAGCCTGGATCTGCTGCCCTCCACCCCAGCTGCCCCATGTGAAAGGCCCACCCCGTTCTCCTTCACACCTCGTTTTCTGTCTTTGGTGGGGGGCATTCGAAAACATCAAAGCCATTTGTCAGCCAGGATTTCTTCTCCTCCAGCCTGTGCTCTGCTGCCCATCTTGGCGTCTTCTCCTCCAACAGGGAGGAAGACCTCCAGCCATCTTCTGCAGCCAGCTTTTCTGCCTGGTTCAAGAGCCGGGGTGAGGCTGGGGCCATGGAATGGAAGACAGGTCTCTCTGCAGGCAGTGGGTGGGGTCTCAGCAGCTCAGAGCCAGGCCTAAGTGACACCAGGATTGGGTCTGGAAGGGAAGCAGAGCTGTGTGAGGACTGGGTGCCCATGGGCAGATGGGCATATAGGGCACCAATGACACAGGCAGCATGCAGAGATACTCAGAGCCATGCTGACCCATGCAACAGGTGTGGGAAATACAGCTACATGTGGACAGGCACAAAGCCACAGAGCAGGGCTAACAGATACAAATACCCACATGTGCCACCCTCAAAGTGAAGCTTGTTTTGTAGGAACAGCACGGTGCGTGCACTGGAGCAGCCCCCAAACACTTCAAGCTCACGTGAGACCTTGCCCTTGCTTTGTAAGGACAGTCCCACCCACACTGCACCCCGCCGTCTACCAAGTCCATTAGTTCTCTCACCACCTCCAAGAAGCAGGGGAGGCTGGCATCACGGCTACAGATGAGGAAACTGAGGCCCAGGGAGCAAAACCTACTTAAGGTTATCCAGAACTAGGACTTGGCACTGGTTCCCTGTCCCCCAAGGCAGAGGCTCTTCCGGTACACCAGGAGGCTCACTCAGCCACTGGGGTGGGGGTGAAGGAAGTTTAGGGGGTGGAAGGGAGAGGGAGCGGCTGGGGTGGCTGCTTCCGCTGGGCTGGCCTTCATGTTGGCAGGAGCAGGAGAGTGGCTCAGGACAGGCAGAGCGGGCAGAGGGACCTGGGTGGGGGTTGCTGCCTGGAGGACTTCTTGGGTCAAGAAGAATCGAAAAAGGCCAGGCATGGTGGCTCACGCCTGTAATCCCAACACTTTCCGAGGCAGGTGGAGCACTTGAGGTCAAGAGTTTGAGACCAGCCTGACCAACATGGCGAAACCCCATCTCTACTAAAAATACAAAAAATTAGCTGGGCATGGTGGCACGTGCCTGTAGTCCCAGCTACTCAGGAGGCTGAGGCATGAGAATCACTTGAATGCGGGGGTGGGGGTGGAGGTTGCAGTGAGCTGAGATTGTACCACTGCACTCCAACCTGGGCAACAAAGCGAGACTCTGTCTCCAAAAAAAAAAAAAAAAAAAGAATTGCAGAGCTAGGGGTGGGGAACGGGGATGGGGAGTCTGGCTAAGGTGGTCCAGGCACCCCGCATAGCCTCAAAGTGTAAAGAAGCTTTCCATGGAGCAAAGTCCCTTGAGCTGGAGTTTCCTGAGCCCTCAGGTCAAGCCCCCTGACTTTCTGGACCTGTATGTGACCATGCTACCCACTGGGGACTGAAGGTCAAGGGCATGACCTCTGAGGTTATGAGAGAATAAAAATCCAGGCCCAACCCCTCTCAGTTGCGTGGTACCACTGGGCACTCCACGTTCCTGCCACATTTGTCTGGGCCTCTCCTCTGTCTTCCTCACCTTGATTCATCCCGCTGAGCCACTCCTGGGCCGTCAGGGAGGGCTGGGCCCCTGCTGTTGGAGGGTATATGTCCTCTTGGTAGGATTCCGACTGCAGGAGAAATCCAGACAGTGAGGAGGGTGATAGGGTAGGCTGCTCAGATGGGAAGGGCCCTTAGAGCTGGGAGTCCAGGCTCTCCCCAACCCCTGCTGAATTGAGGAAACGGAGGCCCAGAGAACAAAGGGACTTGCCCGAGGTCACATAGCAGCTCAAGAACAGAGGTGGGCCAAGACCCAGGATTCCTGATGCCCACTGATGTCACCCTGCTGTGAGAAAGGCCGCTCTGTGGCTGCCCCATGAACGTGGGCTCCATGCTCTGGTACCTGACAGCCCTGGATCTGTCTTCTCCAGGACAGGTTCCCCACCTCCCTCCCACGCGGTCCCCACTGCCCTTACCCGCCGGGGCACAATCATGGAGATGGGCTCGATGAGGCTTTTGGTTGTGATCAGCTTGTAGAAGCGGAAGATCTCACAGGAGGACACGTCAAGTCCTCTCTTTGGCATGACACCTGCAGGCAGTCAGGGAGGGCCAAGAGGTTCTGGCTAGCCTGGGGCCACAGTGAAAGGGCCAAAGCCAGGCTGCACACCTGGACCTGAACAGAGGCCAGCCTCCTCCCAGAAAAGAGCTCAGGGACAAATACCTACACTGGACTGGGCCCTATGTTGGGAAACGGAGTTGAATTAATCAGACTCTTCACCTTCAAAGATTTAAATTATTTTAGCTAAACTATTTTTTCTTTCTGAGACAAAGTCTCACTCTGTTGCCCAGGCTGGAGTCCAGTGGCACAATCATAGCTCACTGCAGCCTCACACTCCTGGGCTCAAGCGATCCTCCTGCCTTAGCCTCCCAAGTAGCTGGGACCACAGGCATGCACCTCAATTTTTTTACTTATCTGTAGAGACAGGAGTCTCACTTTGTTGCCCAGGCTAGCCTCGAATTCCTAGGCTCAAGAGATCCTCCATCCTCGGCCTCCCAAAGTGCTGGATTAGCTGAACTTTTATAGGCAGTTTGCTCTGCTTAAGGGTCTCCATCTCCATCCCCACAGCTCCTGTGACCCAAATACTCTCAATCAAACTACTCCAGATTCCTTTTGAGTAGGGTTAGCATGGTGCATCTTTCTCCAGTCCTTTACTTTTCATCTAGCCATGTCTTTATGTTTAAAATGGGTTTCTTGTAGATTACAGAAATATAGCTGAGTTTTTATCCTCAGACACACTTAGAAAGGAGCTGAGGACTGCTTCCTGGAGGCTCTTTTAGGTCAGCCCTTTCCATCTCTGCTCTTGTTGTAACTGCTTAACCTTGACCTAGAACACATCCCTCTCTCGCCTGCTGGGCTCTTCTTCCTCTTTCAGTTCCTCCAATGTTGCCTCCTCTGAGAAGCCTTCCTTGACTTCCTCCTTTGTGCTGCTGCCCACCTCAAGGACAGCCCCCATAAGTCAGAGTGTTGCTATGCTGTCCCTCCTCCCGTCTGACTCATCCCTGTCTCCCCACACCCAGCACTGAAGCCCTGACCCGGATTCTCCTTCCTCGGTCTCCCAAAGTGCTGGGATTACAGGCATGAACTTCAGTGGCCCTCACTCACCGATCCCCTTCTGTGGGTTATAGGAGCGGTACTCAGTCAGGTAGCTCAGGTGAGGCTTGTCGGCGCTCACCTCGTAGTAGCGAATGTTGCCATCTCCCTGAGGAGGAGGAGGAAGGGGAGGGTGAGATTCAGAGCTGGATCTCATCAGCTCATCAGCAACCCAGCCATGCAGCAAAAACCTGGCTTTTTTTTTGATGATCGGCAAACCCATCTCACTCAAGGGAACACCAGGAAACCGGGGGCCCTGTCACCAAGGCAGGAGGGTGATGGGGGGGATCTTCATCTTATTTTATATTTTGTCTTATTTTTTTGAGACAGGGTCTCACTTTATTGCCCAGGTTGGAGAGCAGTAGTGCAATCACAGCTCACAGCAACCTCCTGGGCTCAAGCCATCTTCCCGCCTCAGCCTCCCGAGTAGCTGGGACCACAGGTGTGTGCCACCATGCCTGGCTAATTTTTTAGTTTTTCATTTTCGTAGAGATGGGGTCTCACTATGCTGGTCTCACTATGCCCAGGCTGGTCTTGAACTCCTGGGCTCAACTGATTCTCTCACCTTGGCCTCCCAGAGTGCTGGAATTATAGGCATGAGCCACTGTGCTGGGCCCAGGCCCTTACTTTAAAATTCAATCCTCCCCCACCATGACCCAAAGCCCACCCTTGTTCCTCTAAGACAGAAGCTCTGGGAAGACAAGTCCAAATCCCGCTCCTATCTGAGAGCAGCAGCAAAGGTCAGAACTGGGGTGGCCTCAGAGGTCATCCAGAAGGTCTTACCATGGGGGACATTTCTGGTTGTCATAATGACTTGGATGGAGGGGGAGAGATGCTGTTCTTGGCATTGGTGGGCAGGGGCCAGGGCTGCCAGATATGGGATAGTCCTACCCAGTGGAGACCTGTTCTGCCCCCAGCTCAGCAGGTGCCCCTGCTGAGAAACACCAATGGTCCCCCCATATCTGGGCCTGCAGTTGGGAAGGGACAAGCTCAAGGTGTCCAGCCAGAGCCCTGGCTCCAGGTGTTCTTAGGGAGCCAGGAGGGTGGGAGGGGTTCCTTCTCACAGGGGACGAGTGGCCTGCCCATCCCTGCCCCGTGCTCCCAACAGCCCCAGGTTGCTGTCTGCCCCTGTCTCAGGGGTCCAGGCAGTCACCTCCCTCCCGTGCCAAGCCGACCTTCCCCACCACGTAGAGCATGCTGGTGTCTGCGTCATAGAAGGGAAACAGCACGCCCGAGGAGCCGTCCAGGTCCTCCTCCAACAGAGGCACAGAGAGGTCATCCTGCAAGGGAAGGGGAGGCAGGGAAGGCCTGGGTCACTCCTGGGGGCCCTCAGTGGCGCTCCCAGAGATAAGAATTCCTGCCACGGTGCTCTGGGCGAGAGTGTGTGTGTCAGAGAAAAAGTGTGATTTTTTTCTATGTGTGTGCTGGGGGAAGATGTCCCTGGTTCTTAGGTTCCAATGTGTGGGCTACTCTCTGGTGGAGATGACATCTTAAAGGCACTAAAATGCTGCTGCCACCTATTTTGTGAGCTTTCTGCCCTTAACAAATCACCTTTTTTTTTTTTTTTTTTTGAGACAAGGTCTAACACTGTCACCCAGGCTGGAGTGCAGTGGTGCAATCATAGCTCACTGCAGCCTCAAACTCTTTGGCTCAAGCGATCCTCTCGCCTCAGTCTCCCAAGTAGCTGGGATTATAGACGTGCACCACTGCACCCAGCTGATTTTCTGCAGAGATGGGGGTCTTGCTGGGTAGCTCAGGCTGGTCTCGCATTCCTGGCCTCAAGCGATCCTCCCACCATGGCCTTCCGAAGTGCAGGGATTACATGCATGTACCACCATGCCTGGCCATAACAAATCACTTTTGACACACCCGATCTCATTCCAATCTTCCCCTACCTGTTTTTTAAAATTTATTTTAATAGATGAAGGAGACTCAGAAAGAAAGTGTGATTTGTCAAGTCTTTGAAACTCCTGTCAAATGCTCCCTCAAAACACTACTGCCAGCTTGGCCCTCACCTCGCCCCGCTCCACCCTCAGCTGTCCTGATGAAATCTCCCCATACCCGTTAGTACCACATTTGCTCCAGGTGCCCCCTCTGCCCAGATGGCCCTCTCCTTCTCCCTTCCTCCTAGTCGTGGTCCCAGACTTAGCTACCTCCCCTCCTCTAGCCCAGGGCATCCCCTGGATCCTGACCCATCTCCCTAGAGTGGCAAGATGCACAGGGTCTGGGTTCGCCCGGGGCTGTCGGCATCTCCCTGCTATTCATCCCCGGATCCCTGGCACCTGGCAGTCTACACTGAATGTGTGAGACATAAATGGGTGTCTGAATGAATGCATGCATGAATGAATGACGCTGGCTCTCAGCTGAGGGGTGATGGTGAGGGATGGGGTGCAGCCCTCACCTGGTCCCACAGGGCCACCTGCCGGTTGTTCCATCGGGATGTGCCCGTGGACATCAGCTTCTTCAGATTCCCCAGAAACAGCACCTTGCTGGCCCGGTGCCCTTTGTAGTTGGCCTCCTGGAGGGACATGTGCAGTTGGTATTGGAGAAACACTGGAGGGGATGCCAGGGGGCAGCTAGGGTTTCTGGCCTCCCTGCTTTGCTTATGCCGCCGCTCTACCTGGAAGGCCTCCCTTTCTCACCCCAGCTCTGCCTGGAGATTCTTCCAGGGGCACCACCTGGATCCCTGTCATCCACATGGAGTCTCTCCCGGCTATCTTTGTTAAGAGTTATTTTTCTGAGCAAGAACAGAAACAAACTTCTGCCCAGCTCCCTGTTCTTGCTGAAAAAGTATCAGGCACCCCTACAAGGGTGGGCACTGCCACCTGGCCTGTCTTATCTAATCCTCGGAGAGGAAGGACTAACAGCCCATTGTTGCAAATGAGAAAACAGAGGTCCAGAGCAGGAAGTGCTTGCCCAAGGCTGCACAGTGGCTAAACAGTGGTGTGCTCGGCTCTCCTGACCCCTGGCCAGGGCTGAGGCACGCCAACAAGCTTTGGAGTCAGACAAGGTTCAGATTCCAGCTCTCCATGGGGGTGAGTCATTTCATCTCTCAAGGGCCTCAGTTTTCACACCTACAAAATGGAAAGGGCATATCCCACCTTCCGGCAATCCCGAGAGGACAGACGGGGATGCTGCCTATGAAGGCGTGACCCAGACACTGACAGCATCACTGTCCTGTTCTCTGAAGCCTCCCCCTGTCCCCACTCTGTCCCTTGCTCCTCTGAGCCTGAGCCAGCCCCTGGCCCAGCACTGACCTGGAGGACGGTGCCTGCTCGGGGGTCGATAACCCGAATCTTGCGGTCTTTGCAGGTGGTGGCCAGCAGGCTGCCGTTGGTGTTGAAGGACATGGAGAGGATCACATCTTGGTGACAGCTAATTGTCCTCATGGGGCTTGTGATGACAGACTCCTTTGTATCCAGGTTCCAGATCATCACCTGCATGGCAGAGAGCCAACTCTGAGCACAGGGGCCACCCCGCCCCTGGCCCCCACAGTCACATGCTGGCCAGGATGCAGTGAAATACAGTATCCCCAGGAGGGTGGCGCAGCTGGCAGCCTGGCCAAGAAGCCTCGGTGGGAGGATGATGTGCAGGCTGAAGCTGCTTGTGGCAGGAGGGGGAATCCCAGGGCCAGGCTGTCTAGTGGTGAAAGGAAAACGCCACCTGCCTCTGAGCAACAAAATATCCACGCTGGGAGGACCCCAGGGAACCAGCTAATCCAGGCAGTTTCAGTTATTAGCAACAGTTTGCACCTCCCACACACCAACAGGGCTGTATGTTTAGCTGCACAGGCTGTGCATGCAGAGCTCCAGGGCAATCCATTCCTATAGCCTAGGATGTGATTAGTGCCCCCTGAAGTTGTGTATAGAACAACCAGCACAAACACGTGCAGCAGCTCTGCAGACACCCTGTACAAACAGATGGGAAAGCGCTTCGGATCGGAAGAGTAAGGGCCCAGGTTCCCTCAGTGCTCCCCACAACCACTTTAGTTATTTATTTTTGAGACAGGGTTGCCCAGGCTGCAGTGCAGTGGCATGATCATGGCTCACTGTAGCATCAACCTCCTGGGCTCAAGTGATCCTCCCACCTCAGCCTCCTGAGTAGCTGGGACTACTGGCACATGCTACCACACCTGGCTAATTTTTTCTATTTTTTTGTAGAGACACGGTCTCACTATGTTGGCTGGTCTCAAACTTTTGGGCTCAAGTGATCCTCCCACCTAAGCCTCTCAAACTGTTGGGATTACAGGTGTGAGCCACCATGTTCGGCCCCCACCTTCCTTTTATCCATCACAGAGGGTCCCGAGGTGCCTCTGTAAATCCCTGTAGTGTCAAAAGGAAAGAACTGAAAGGCCATAGCTATGGTGCCACCAATTCCATTTGTGTACAGATTGGGAAACTGAGGCCTAGAGAAGTCAAGGCACTCTCCCAGGCTATACTGCAGGTCAGAGACTGAGTCGGAAGAGAATCGAGGTCTCCTGTACTGTGGATCCCAATCTACAGAGCCTACCACCTGCATGCTTGGTTGTCAGTGGAGCAGGGTGAGGGGAGGGCAGTGCCATCCCATCACCTCCAGGCAAACTGTAATGAGTTGAACAGGGTCCCCCGAAAACTCATGTCCACCTAGAACCTCAGAATGTGACCTTATTTGGAAATGGGGTCTTCGCAGCTGAAATTAGTTAAGATGAGATCATAATGGATTAGGTGGGCCCTAGATCCAATGACAGGTGCTCTCCTCTTCCTATAAGGAAGACGGACACACAGAGAGAAGGCCGTGTGAAGACAGAAGCAGAGCCTGGAGTGACGCAGCTATCAGCCGAGGATGCCTGGAGCCACCAGAAGCTGGGAGAGGCACAGAAGGATTCTTCCCTAGGGCATCTGGAGGGAGCTGGCTCTCCCAAAACCTTGGTTTTCGATCTCTGGTCTCCAGAATTGTGACAGAATAAATTTCTGTGGTATTCCAGTTCGTGGGAATTTGTAGGGGCTGCCCCAGAAGAAGAACACCCAGACTCACCTTGTAGTCATAGCCGGCACTGAAGAGGATGTCGGCGGCCGTGGGGTGCCACTCCACCAGGCCCACTCTGCGCGCGTGGCCCACGAGCTCCTTCCTGCAGGCCGTGAGGTTCCTGGTCAGCAGCTGCTTGGGGATGCTCCAGATCTTAATCTGGCAGGGGAGACGTGGCCCAAGGGAGCATCAGCCAGGGCACCTTGGCACCGTCACCAGCCTAAGCCACAGATCTGGCAGTGACCAGCAGAAGGACCAAGGGAGCTCTCTCCATAGTCACCTCCCACTCAGTAGCTATGGGCACTGAGGGGCAGTGGAGGGGCAGCTGAGGGTCCTCAGAGGGACAGGGGCTTCCCCAAGCTCCTCCAGCCTGAGCAGGGGTCCGCGCTGACCAGGGATGAGTCTAGGCCTCCAAATCTGCCCTTGAGAGATCTTTGTCATTCTGCTGGCCTGACGTGGTGGGCAGGTGGCTGGGTTTCAGGCCTCCTAAGCTAGGATATCCCCCACAGTACAGTATTCTACATGCTTCTTGTCCCAAAGGCCCAGGGTAGGGCCTCAAATGCCAGGATGAAGGGTTTAGGCTGCATCCTCAGGGCACTAGGGAGCCAGCGAGGTCTCTGGAGCGGGGCAGGGACAAACTTCTTGCTTTGCAGGTGCACCCTGGATGGCCTGCAAGAAGAAACTCTGAAGGTCAGGAGGCTGGACTGGATGGGGTCAGAGGCCTGTATTTCATGGTGAGGGCCTGAGGAGAGGCACTGGGACTTCCTTCCAGAGTCATGTTGTCTGAAGATGGAGGGGGCTGCCATGGCGGAGAATAAGCTCCCTGTCACAGAGGTATACAAATGGAGTACAAGGCGAGCCTGGGATGCTGCTGACTTGACCTTCCTTATTGGTCCTGCAAGGTTCTCTGGCCCCTAGTTGATTTTACGCACTGTTTCCCTTAGAGTTATACAGGTTTTTCAGGTAGACAACTTTGCTTTCAATTCAGCAAATATTTATTTCCTGGTCATCTTGGATTTAAAACCAGGAAGCCAACCCCACGAGAGTAGTGCCAGGTTCCAGATACTTCGGTGTGGTGAGGGCTCTCACCACATAGAACCCCAGGAGGAAGACACACTGTGAACAGGTGTGTTTGGAAGATGCAGGTACCACCCGCAACACTGAAGCAGAGAAGACTCCCCAGTGCTAGAGGAGCAACCGTGCCCTCCAGGCCCTGAACGCAGGGAGGAACACGAATGAATTCACTCCATAAATTCACTGTGGGCATAGCTTCGGGGAGAAAAGCCCCTTCCTTCTTCAGCCCCCCAACAGTTATGTCCTGCCCTGGGGCATCAGGGAAGGGATAGTGGCAGGCAATGAGGCTAGCAAGAGATTTAAGAAAGATTTTGATGGGAGCCTTCAAAGCAGTTCTGAAAAGGCAGGTATTACAAAAGTGGGGACAGTTTCAGATATCTGACATCATGCCAGAGGCCCTGTACTCCCTAGGGACAGGGCCAATTCTCACAGGACCTGACTGTCCCTTTGGTAAAATCACCTCGGCAGACACTGTCCTTTATGTTCCTCAGCATCTGCTATATGGAAACGGACACAAATCCTCTTTGAATTTTCTGCTTTCCTTTCCTGATGAACTGGTCTGCTTCTTTTGATCTAACTGAAGGTTTTGCAATACATTCTATTGCCCATTTTGCCTTGGCTGCCAGGGAGCTCTTAGCTAAGCTAGGAGCTTGGCTGCTGCAACCCTCCTTAGCCATCATTTCTAGTATTTCCTCACTTTCTCCATCTGTGGCTGCTGCTCTTTAAAGATGTGTCATGGCACATTGGAAAGAGAATGGGCTCTGGAATCAGGCCTCAGTCTGAAGTCTGGCTCTGCCTCCCACAGGCTGTGAAACATTAGGCAAGTTGCTGTACCTCTCTGATCCTCAGCTTCTCCATTAGAAAAATGTCCCACCTTGTGGGGTTGCTGGGGAGACTGTGAGACGATGAGTATGGTGACAGTGAGGAATACAGTGGCTCACAATAAATGGTGATAATGACTTTTATCTTTATTTTAATCATCTGATCATATCTGTGATTTTTAATTTTTTAGTAGAGACAGGGTCTCACTATGTTGCCTAGGCTAGTCTCCAACTCCTGGCCTCAAGTGATTCTCCCACCTCAGCCTCCCAAAGTGCTGGGATTACAGGTGTGAGCCACTGAACCCGGCACATCTGTGGTTCTTGTCTTAAGCCATATCCATCATATTTTAAAAGTGGGTACGAAATGAACTATAAATAAGTAACACTGCACATTGTTGGGGTAGGGATGATAGCCCTGGTACAGAACACAGGCTCAAAAAAGTGAGTGAGACTGAAGCTGCTGGAATGGTTTTAGTGTCCACATTCATCCAAGGCCCTCACAGCCTTTTACAGCTCGCTTCTTCACTGTGGGATTAAGTGGAACATCTTTTCTGATCACCATAAAAATGCCCCTTGTAGCCTTTTATAGCCCCCCAAAAGGATGGGCTTTCCCATCGGAATATACATTTTCACTGGGCTTTATTAGCTGGGTGGAACTATTATGCCCATTTTATAGGCGGGGAACTAAGGCCCATAGTCCTACAGCACCTAGAATGTCTCCTCCTCTACCTAACTTAACACCTCCCCACACAGTGACCTCAACTCCGCGATGGAGTCAGGGGCACCAGAGCCAAGAACAGGTACCGTTCCACCCCACCCACCCCAATCCCACTCTTCAGGAGGGGCTGACACTCACTGTGGCGTCTTCAGAACAGGAGGCGATCTCAAAATCATCAAAAGGGTTCCACTTGACGTCCAGAACGTTCCCTCTGTGCCCGCAGACCTTTGGGTAGTGGGGGTCCAACTTCCCTGTCTGCAAGACAGTGCCCAGAAGGGTTGGGGAGGAGGTGGATTCCACCTGAGCATCTGGACAGTCACGTAGTCAGTCAGCAACCAGTCAACAGGAACATGTAAGGGACAGAGCTAGGTGTGAATCTAGGCCTTACTTCTTACTCCCTGTGTGATCCGGGGGAGTTACTTCACTTCTCTGAGCTCTGGTGTCCTCCTCAGTAAAAGGGAGCAATCACAGGTATTTCACAGGCTGGTGTAAGGATCATGGGAGGGAGTAGCTAGCACATGGCAGATGTTCAATAAAAGGGCATTTCCCCTCATACACTGCTGGCGGGCATGTAAAATGGTGCAGCTCTTTTGGAAAATAGTCTGGCAGTTCCTCAAAAGGTTAAAAGGAATTCCCACATGACCCAGCAATTCCACTCCTAGGTCTATCCCCACGGAAAATGAAAAGATAAGTCTACAAGAAACTGGCTCACCTAATCCCAAGGTGGGTGGATCACCTGTGGTCAGGAGTTCGAGACCAGCCTGGCCAACATGGTGAAACCCCGTCTCTACTAAAAACACAAAAAGTAGTGAGGCGTGGTGGCGTGCACCTGTAATCCCAGCTACTCAGGAGGCTGAGGCAGAAGAATCACTTGAACCTGGGAGGCGGAGGTTGCAGTGAGCTGTGATTGCACCATTGCACTCCAGCCTGGGTGACAAGAGTGAAACTATGTCTCAAAAAAA